ATATGGTTCATGGGGTCACGAAGAGTCGGAGACGACTTAACGACTGAACAACAACAACAAAGTGATCACTATTCATCAAAAGATGAACTACCCTACAATTAAACAAAACCAAGTTCTCTTATTTCACTAGGGTAGATTCACACAACACATTAAACTCTAAACTTAGGTTAACAAAACACAGTACTGCTGTTCCCATAACATGGAATGTTTGGACCCATAAACCATATAATGGCTTAATGTGATGGCCTGGGTCACAGAGCATGCTAAGACAATAGCTGAATTCCCACAACACAATGCACCACAATTTTAGCTTAGTCTGGCATGCTGGGTATACCCACCCTGTGTGTATTAAGGAACTCGTTGGTGCAAATATATCTGGCTCACATCTAACAAATATTTTATGAATATCCTCTGACATGTCACTATTTTCTTTCCTGCTATGGACCCCCTCCCTTTGCAGATACCCCAGCTGGCCCTGATCAGGGGGTTCAAATGGTGACCTTGAGCCATAGGGGCAGTGTTCACACAGGACACTTAACCTGTACTGAATTAAGCCTGGGTGTTGTAAGCCGCTGGAGAAAAGGAAAAATTGCCAAAGAGGAGAAAGAAACATTTTTCAGGGTACAGAGACCCAAAGGCTTCAACTGCACCGCCATGAGAGAAAAGGTAGAACAGACCGTGCCCAAGAACGTTTAGAGAAACTGATTTCCTGACATTTGTGCCCAGAAGCAATGATGGAAGGAAAACAGAGACTGGGACATTGGTATCGGGGGGGGGGGGGGGGGGGGAAAAAAAAAAATGCTCAATGCAACTTCATGCTGCAGATTCCACTCCTTATGCACTTGTGTGTGACACTGCAAGCTCAAAAGGGAGGAGCGTGTGCCAGGACATCACAACACAACACCCATTTCAGCTTTTTGACACCCTAACTAGCTGCAGGCTGCTGCATGTTGTACTAAGCCATAGTTCGTATACATCATGGCTTACTAAATGATCTACACTTGGCTGGATTCACATTGCACTGACTGGATTCATGTAACACGCTAAACCCTAAATCCAGGTTAACTAGCCACAACTGGGTCGCCATGACATGTTATACCCCAAATAAATGAATTACAGGGGATCTCCTCTAATTTTATCCTCACAGCAACCCTGCGAGATGCGCTGAGGTGGAAGAGAATGACCGGCTCAAAGTCACCCAGAGAGTCCAACCCAACCTTTAAACCACTACTGTGTCACAACTGAGAAGTCCCCTTTTGGTCCTCTTTTTACCCCAACCAGCCTTCCACAATCACATCCAGTAAACCAAGGTGAGGAAGGCAAACCAGATATTTGTACAAATACTTCCAATCTAAATGTCATCTTCTGTTTGGGGATATCACATAGCGGCTTGCATTCTCATCACGCAGCGAACCTGCTTCTGAATCAACTCATCTTCTGAGTTTACACAATAAACTGAATCCTATGTTAGCTCCTCCTCCTCCTCCTCCTCCTCCTCCTCCTCCT